GCTAGTATGCATGAAGGTTTGAGTAACGAGTTTTAAAATTGACAACCTTTTTCGATAATATTTGCACGGTTTCAATGCTAATAAAAATTAGACCGCGCTTGTCGAGATGGAATTATTTTGATTCATATTGTCCTCAACATCAAGTATATTTTCACGATGCTTGGTGACGAAGGATTTTGCAAATTACTTTCTAAGGGAATGCTGTTTTACTGTGTTTCGTGTGAAACATTTGGCTGTTCCCTGCCACCATATCGTTAGGTTATCATGGATGTAACTGAAATGAAACTTGAAACTGAAATGAGACGTTATGGAGATTTTCTTCAATTTTTTAAAACCGGGCGACACCACGAAAGTAGCCCCAGTATATATAGGGCGTTATTTAAAATAAACATTACAAACATTTTCTGAGAAGTTAGACATCATACTCGCTTCCTGACAAGTTGATAATTTTTTGTTTAAGTAAAAATTAACGCGCTGGAGAATGTGAGATGGTTCTCCAAGTTCCAGGAACGAACCTTTAAAATTTGGTCCGTTTTTTTTTCTTTTTCTTTTCTTTCTTTCTTTCTTTTTTTTTTTTTTTTTTGTATAAGAATTAACAGATACATTTAGTTATTTTTTTCAGTGAATAAGTAAAGTCCTGTTTAAAGATGGAGAGACAATTCTTTCGCTCGTTTACTTTCAATAAAATGATAAAGCTGTTAAATGGACCTATATATTGAGAATCAGTGTAAAACCAAGAAATTTTGTACATTTTGTTGGAGAGCACAGAGTATTTGACTCGAGGAATAGTAAGGTAAAATAGCTATTCACTTAATTTGGAACTTGAAAAGCGGATTTATGAATCATTTTCTGTGCGGTATTTGGATAGGATGGGTATTCCAATATCAATGAAGGAGAGTAACGGTGTGGGGAGTATCGTTACTGTCGCATGCCGGTATTTATCATAAAGTAACGATTTTAAGGAGAAGTAACGATGGAGGAAGTAAAGAGATGACCGTTAAAGTAAACTTCTGCAAGGAAATGGTTATGAACATCCTCACAAATCCATAGAGCTGTGGTCGTGTGTAATTTTATTTTAAAATGTCGTGAGAGCTCCTGTCCTAAACTGAATTATTATACTTCAGGGAAACCATGAACCAAAGCTCTGCCCACCAGGAAACATGTTTTATGATTTATTAACGCAAGGAGAATCAAATTAGAGGTCCTAAAGAATGCCTTGCTTGCATACCAACTGTTTTGGTGCTGGAAATTCTAACAGTTTCCTAAATCGCCGATCCAAAACCGATCACAGAATTACGATCCATAAACCCGTACTAGATGTTTTTTTTTTACCATATATATACATAAATGTACCAGTACAATTTTCTGCTATATAAGATGCACTGTAGTTTAGGGCTTATCAATAAAAGTGTTTTCGTGTGTTTGTTGTATAAATAGCACCATTAAAGAAATGGAAACTACCATGACGCATATGCTTCAGGGAATTAACTCCGATTAAATTTCAATTATTCTCTCTACGCAGTAGAGGCCGGTTATTACGGTAGTAATTATGGTTCACATTCAAAATTGTTCTGTTAACAATTGTTTTTCGTATACATTAACCACGTAAAGCCACATTGTAGTATTTGAATTAGGGATGCTACGATTACACAATCTATCAACAGTATCTGAAGGACTTAGGTGTCATTTTTGATTACTATGGAATTATATATAGACGAGTCTATGAAATCTGTAAATCAGCTCCATATTCACTTAGGCGAATTAGAAAGATTCGCAATATTCTGGAGAGAAAAACAACTGATGAATTAATGCATGCTTTCATTATCTCCAGACTTGGTTACTGTAATAGTGGTCTCTACGGTTTATGTCAAAAATTGAACAAACTGAAACTAATCCAAAATTCAGCAACCAGGCTATTTACAAATATGCAAATAAATAGTGGCGAACACATACTTAAGTCTCATATAAAATATATTTGCATTATTGTTATTATTATCATTGTTATTGATATAATTATTAATGTTGTTATTATTATTATGACATTTCATATGTATACTATTGTTGTACCGTATCAATAACAAAAATGTCATGGTTAAGTAAACTATCACTTGTATCTTTATCAAAATCACTTCACTAGCTGCCTGTTAGACAGAGAGTTTTATGTAAAGTATGTGTAATCTATAATTATGAAACAAAAGAGAAGAACCACTATATATTATGGTTAATTGTTAATTCTTGGAAAATTCTGCTTCAGAAAAAATATAACAAATTTTATGGTGGTCGCGCTTTATATATATATATATATATATATATATAGACTAAAGCTTAACATTAGCTACCTACTTATACAAGAACCACTGATGACATGGAGCATTAAAAACATCTTTTGGAGACCAACAATTTAAAATCAGTTAATATAGTGATTGATAAAGCAAGTTTTGTTGTTCTAGATATTCTATCTTTTTGTTTTATTTCAATTATCATAAGTAACTCTTAGACTCATTATGTTATAATTTTAATGAGCAATTTGCAATTTTAATAGGTAACTATTTTTTCAGTTTTATCTTAATTCATTGTCACCTTAGTCTTTAATCTGGAGGGCGCATTGAGGTTTTAAATGAAATGCACCATATAAGAATTAATTATTATTATACTTATTATTATTATTATTACTTTTTTCAATTTCAGTATTTATTTCTTCATACCTGTACCAATACAATCCTCGTATGATAAGTATAAGAGGCATATTGATTGAACTGTGAATTTAACACCTAGCGCCCCTATGAGGCACCTACACTAATATTTTACAGCTGCTATTTTAAGGCCGTTTACCGGTACCTACAAGGCCCCATGTATATTATTATATTTATTATTATTATTACTTTTTTCAATTTCAGTATTTTTTCTTCATACTTGTACCAATACAATCCTCGTATGATTAAGAATATGAGGCATATTGACTGAACTGTGAATTTAACACCTAGCGCCCCTTTGAGACACCAATACTAGCATTTTACAGCTGCTATTTTAAGGCCGTTTACTGGTACCTACAAGGCCTCATGTATATTTTACACTGTAGACTTATCTTACTTATTATGATGTCAGTTCAGTTTCTGTTATATCGGATTATTTTTCTCAATGTAATTTCACCTTATTTGCCCATTGGTGTAATTTGTGTTGTATTTATACACATATGTATGTTAAAATATCTATTTTGTTTTTCCACAATAAATATTGTAAATCTCCGGCCCTCTTCTAGTTTTTCCGCTTTTTATCACCACGCTGACCGAGGAAGTTAGAAAAGTTGGAGAGTTTTTCTGTTGAGTATGGATTAGATGGGAGGGAAATTAGCTTCGAAGTGGTAAACAACAGTCGCGGATTTAGGGGGTGTCAGGGGGGTCCTGCCCCCCTCCCCCCCCCCCCCCCCCCCCCCCCCCCCCCCCCCCCC